GTCAACTCTAAAGGTCTTTAGTTTCGGTTCCCCCCCCTTTCCTCTCAGCAGTGCCTCCTCCTCCTCCTCCTCCTCCTCCTCCTCCTCCTCCTAGTCGCAATCGTAGTCGCAGCTGTCGTCGTCGTTGCTGGGCGGCGGGTGCCGGGGAACAAATTCAGTAGTTAAACCCCTACTGGTGGGGTCTCAGTCTTTCAGTATAGCCGCCGATCGAACCAATAGTAAGTTACCCCCTTCTGATTGGGGGGGGTATTAGCGACCTTTAGAGGTTTCCCCAATATGGAATTTAAAGAGGGGGTCACAGCCCTCCCAAACGAGCAGTTTTAGATTCCCCCCCGACCAGCCATGAAAGGGCGGCCTCTTGCCCAGACCCCCTCTGGAACCCTCCAGCGCAGCTCCAATCAGACCCCCCTCCCAAATCAGATCCCCCCTTTCACATGGTGCAATGCGGACTGCCCATGCCCGTCTGTCGTTGGAAGCAGGTGTGCTAGCATCTCTGGATCCCAATCTGCTTTGGCCGCCTTCCTACCTCGAGAGTCGAGGGTGCTCCTCCCTCTTCCCTCCTCGTCAGTGGGCGGGCGGAGATCCGATCTACTTCCAGCGCCTTCCTGCTACCTTCGTGTTCCTGCCCGCTTCGTCCGACCCACGGGGCCAGGCCCTCGCGCATAAGTGACCTCTCGCTGGAGTGACCCTCCGGTGCGGGGGCACGAGGCCCCCACATGACTGCATGCGATGCAGCGGCTTACGCGCTCGGGTTTGGCCTCCCCGCGCCCCCCGATAGCTGCGCACTCGGGGTCGCTCCTCTGACCTGGGGTCACTCCTTGCGTGCAGCCGACCCAGCCGCTGCCTTCCGCCACTTTTGGGCCTCCTGGGAGGCCCTTGTCGCCACCGCTGGATTCGCCTCGAAATGCTGGTCAGAACGCGCCCCGGGAGAGCTCCATCCAGGGCGTACAGTCGAGGTCGATTAGTAGGTGGACCCTGCCAGGGTACCCTTGTGTCAAGGATACCCTTGTGTCCTGTGGCTCACTATGGCAACGTGGCCCTCGAAAGGGTCTTGTGCTCTCTCGCGTGCCCTCTCCAATCAACCCCGACTGTCGCGGTATCGGTACCTTGTGGTTTCCCGCTGAAGGCGTCCGTGGACGAGAAGGCACGCCCTGGCGGCGGGGCGCGAGCGACGCGGGGCTGGCAGGCAGTTGTCGGAGGGATGCCGGTTGAGGCCATGGATTGGCCTTCGGGGGGGCCCCTCATCGCCACGGCTGGGCGCAGCTCGGGGGGCTGCGTCGGACCCAGGCAGGGGTCCGGAGACAGCTTGGGAGCTGCCGCTGTCTCGGCTGGCCCGGCTCCGAGGGAGGGCCCCGCCTTCGGGGTCTCGGGAGCGGAAAAGAGGGGGGTGATGACTAGGGGGGGGTGGATTTCATGGCGCGGGCCATGATTTTTCCCCAGATTTCATGGCGCCTCTTCTTATTTCATTACGTCCCTGCCCCCCCCGCTGGGCCGCGCACATGCCGCCGGTCATGATTTGCACCCCCCCCTCTTGGACACCCCCCTCTTTGCCGCTCCCGAGGGTCGGTGGTGCCTGTTCACGGCAAGAACCCCTCATCAGTTCTTACCCGCACGCACGCTTTTTGGCGTCGCGGCCCCGCGCGCGGCGACGGGGTGTAGAAAGTCGGGTGCAGGCAGTGAAGCGCGCGCGTCTACGCCTGGCCGAGCACTCAGAGACCGCTCAGGGTCTCGCAGCCGGTGGCAGCCAGAACCATCCGGGCATGGACGGCGGGGAGAGGCGGTGTGTAGACGAAATTACGGTGAGAGTGGAAGGTGACATAGCCAACCGGGACTGGAAGGCGGGGAGGGCGAGTAAGCAAGCATGGATTGCCGCACGCACGCGCACGCACACGCACGCGCGCACACGCACGCGCGCACAAACACGCGCAAGAGCACAGCACGCCAAACACACGGCAACACTACACAGCACAGCACAATTCACACAACACACACACACACACACACACGCACACGCACACACACACAACACACACAACACACGCACACACAACACTCATGACATGGACGACTCACAACACATAAACACACCAAACTGAGTCACGTACACAACACACCGCACAAGACACAGTAGCACACCTACACATATCCCTGTTCCTCCTTCGGCATATTTCCTCCCACTCTGCCACCTAGCCATCCGAGAGCCCCCGCGTCTGGGACGTTCCATCCTACAGCAAAAGAAAAACACGCAAAGTCGTCACTTTCGTTTTCAGCATGGACGCTGTGTCGTCGACGTTGCAACATGCATGGCGGGAGTGGGATGCAGCGCCCATCGCGCGCGAAAAGGGCGAATCGTCGCTTTCGCATCGGTGCCGTTCTTATTTATCCTAACAGTTGAGCTCCCGCTTGGGCGCGGCGCACATTCTTCTCGCCAATCTGTCGACATCGGGATCGCGCGCGAGCGGGCGAAACCTCGCTCTCGCCTTGGGGCCGCGCAGATTTCGCCTGACACCGTTCGCCAGGCGTGAACGCACGCCGGCCCCAATATCAAGTTTGTCCACCATTGCCTCTTCTGTTATGGAAACGAGGGTGGGAGTTGGCAAGTTCCGCTGATTCGCCCGACCTGGGTAATTTGTGACATACTTACAAACGCTCGTACATACCGAATGCGCATGCACATGCACACTTGTACCTGTATGTCTGTCTGTCTGTCTGTCTGTCTGCCTGCCTGCCTGCCTGCCTGCCTGCCTGCCTGCCTGCCTGCCTGTATGTATGTATGTATGTATGTATGTATGTATGTATGTATGTATGTGTATTTATAGACACACATATATACATATATATATATATATATATGTATGTATGTATGTATGTATGTATGTATGTATGTATGTATGTATGTATGTATGTATGTATGTATGTATGTATGTATGTATGTATGTATGTATGTATGTATGTATATATGTATGTATATATATATATATTGGTACATGGCTGGGGGCCTTCTCCCAGCTGCCCCGACTCGCCATGGGGGCTCCGGGCTCCCCGGGTACCCTCTCCAGCGGCCCGAGAGCCGCCTAGGCGGCCTTAAGTGAGTGGCGTCACAGTGACACCAGAAGGCTGCGAGATGTCCCGTGGGGCTTCCGGGCAGCCCCAGATAGCTTCAAGACGGCCCAAGAGGAGTCGACTTTCGCTTCCCAGAGGGCCCCAAGAGGCAAACAACCATTGATTTACCATGTTTTTTTTGTTTTTTTTTTTTTTGTTTTTGGGATTCTCGACTTTCGAGCTTCCGACACTCCACGACGTTCTCAGAGGCCTCCAAGACCGCCCCAAGACGGCTCTAGAGACCCCCAAGACCCAAGACCGCCCCAAGACGGGCCAAGAGAGTCCCAAGACGGCCCCAAGAGGGGCCCACGACGGCCCAAGAAGAGCCGCCCAGACGGCCGTAAGTGGCGTCATTGTGACACCAGAAGGCTGCGATATGTGCCGCGAGTCTTGCGGGCAGCCCCAGATAGCTTCAAGACGGCCCAAGAGGATTCGACTTTCGCACCCCGGAAGGCAAGAGGCAAAAACCATTGATTTACTATGGTTGTTCATTGTTTTTGATATTCTCAACTTTCGAGCTTCCGACGCTCCACGACGTCCCAAGAGGTCTCCAAGATCGCCCCAAGACGGCTCCAGAGACCCCCAAGATCGGCCCAAGACGGGCCAAGAGGGTCCTAAGACGGCCCCCAGAGGGGCCGAAGATGGCCCAAGAAGAGCCGCCCAGACGGCCTTAAGTGGCGTCACTGTGACACCAGAAGGCTGCGAGATGTCCCGTGGGGCTTCCGGGCAGCCCCAGATAGCTTCAAGACGGCCCAAGAGGATTCGACTTTCGCTCCCCAGTGGGTCCCAAGAGGCAAAAACCATTGACTTGCAATTTTTTGTCAAACGTGTTTTTGGGATTCTCGACTTTCGAGCTTCCGACGCTCCACGACGTCCCAGAAGTCCTCCAAGACCGCCCCAAGACGGCCCCAAGTCGGGCCAAGAGGGTTCCAAGACGGGCCAAGAGGGTTCCAAGACGGCCCAAGAGGGCGCCCCAAGAGGGGCGCGTCCTGAGCCGCTTTGAAGCCCTCCTGGGATTTTCTTGCAGGCCCAGGACATCGGTGCCAGGGATGGCCCGGGATGGCCCAGATCCGCGGGGGACGGAGAAGGGGAGACGAAACCAATGGACCACGAAAAGCCGAAGGCAGGAGTCAGGGAATGACGATAGCGGATAGTCAGGAGGAACAGAAAGGGTGAACGAAGGAAAGACGGGAGGGAGGAGCAGCAGCTGAGTAGGGCTACGTTATCATTTCTCGTCCCCCGCCTCCTCCTTCCCCCCATGACCCCCTCGATGTCGTTATTCTCTGTCCTGCCTCAGCCCGCCTCCCCTCTTCCTGCGCGTCCTACTCCTTCTCTTGTCGATGGAGGCGGCGCTCATGTTCCCGGGCCCCCTGCGAGGCCACAGAGTGACCTTGCTGAGGGCAGCGCCTCGGTCCGAACTCGCAATTTCCGAGCCTCCCAAGTAGGGCGCAAAGGCGAGGCAAGACACACGGAAGCCATGGCTAAGATGTCGCGGTATTTGTCGATGCCGACCTTGGTCATAGTCCATGGCCGCCGCCGCAAGGGTTTAGGTTTTGTGTGGGGGCCCCGCCACTAAGGGGAGGTGGCCTCGAACTCACCCCCCACATGCTGGGGGTGCACAGGCGATTGATGCGCCAGTGGCCCGGACGCACCCTGACGGGTGTAAGCCGCGGCCGCCGTTACTTTTCCCCTCCCGCCCGACGCCCCCCCGCCAGGTAACGACCGTTACCCAGGAAAGAAACAACGGGCAAACAAGAACCCTGAGATCCGACGCTGCATCGAAACTGCAACTTCACAAAAGAAAAAACACGACTGGAGCCTCAGACCCAATCTTTCTGCATCATCTCTTGAGCCGGATCGATCCGTGATGATCCCGAGCCCCAAGGCTGGGCGATAAC